AATGAAAGAACTAATTTGGAAAATAGGGGACGTCGAACGATGGGGTAATATGACATTTGGTCCAGTGGTCAAAGATGGACGAGCTTACAATACCACAGTGACCACCGGTCAAGGTTCATCAAGGTGCGCTCTATCATCGTTTGAACGCCGACTTCAAAAAAACGCCGAAACGTTAGTCTCGAATTTGTAGTGAAAGGATTCAATTCTGTGATGATTAGTTCGCCTTGTGACCCTGCATTAGAACTGCGTTTCGTAAATAACGATAGAGTACCATTTAATTTGTGTTTTCGAGTGTTCTCCAGCCGGTTATCGTGTACCCTTATATTATCGAACACGATTCGTTTGATCTTGTTGATACGGGCTAACGTCTTACACTATAGCGCTTTATTGGACTCGATTGTCGCATTCAAAGTTATGTAGTTAATCTGGGCATCTACTCGATTTAAAGGCTACGACTGAAAGGATTAATGTGATGGATAAACAGTTATCATTGTCTGAAACAAATAAGAAAAACAAGCATGTTCGTCGCCCAAAGCACCTCAACAGACTATGCACTAACGTGAATACATTGCTCCGATTTGTAGTTATGTCACAAATGGTTTGCAAATACCTGGGTTTAGATGGAGATGCAGAAAAGACAAATAAAGTATTTATAGATGTATATATATAGTATAAATATAAATAAATTATAAATAGTATACATGGATTCAGTTGAACGAAATCATAAACACATTGACTCATATTGCATAACCGCTGTTAATCGGTTTGGGCAAAAGTAGATGTTTTTTTAGTCCTATTTCTGAAATGTTCCTTAATATAGAACTGGCAGTAACGTGCAATGCATTCAGTTGTTGTTTCTGCCAAATGAGAATGTTTGTGTCTATTAATTGTATTGTATAAACTCAGGGTAACTTTAATTTACCTTTGGCGTCGATATGTGCCTGTCCACATGAACTCACGATGGTAGAAATCTCTTATATGTATGGCGGTAATATATTGTAGTCCTTTTAATGAAACGTATTTCAAACAAATAAATACATTTCTGGCTATGATAAACAGGGTACCAAATTATTATCTGATGATGATGATCTGGAGATGCTCTTTTGATGATCTGTGATGCTCTGGTAATGTTCTAGTGATGTTCTAGTGATGGTCTGATCATGTTCTAGTTGTACCTGGTATTATTCTAGCAATGTTCTGGTGATAATCAAATGATATTCTAGTGATAGTCGTGCGATGGTCTTGTCATGATCTGATGATGACCAAGTGATACTCTAGTGATGGTGTTGTAATGATCTGATGATGACCAAGTGATACTCCAGTGATGGTGTTGTAATGATCTGATGATGACCAAGTGATACTCCAGTGATGGTCTTGTAATGATCTGATGATGATCTGGTGATATTCTTGCGATGGCCTGGAGATGATCAGGTCTCTATGATGCTTCTTTCGTGATGACCTCGACGATCTGTTTGCTCTGATGACAATCGAGGGATGTTCGAGGCATATTATGTACATTCGGGGGCACAAATAATCCCTCGAAAATAAAATTACTCTTCCAGACAAGGTATAAAAGATGGAAAATGGGGTTTTCATGCATCTAGCCGAACACACTCAAAAGTTATATCACATGTCATTCGTCATGCTATTATTGTATTTGAATCTCGTATGACAAACTTCAGTATTGAGTGTCTGCAACATGACGAGTGTCATGAGGAAGTCTCACATCGATGGTAAGCGTTGAGTGGACATTAGCCGGATAATGAAATGCACCGACAGGGATTCTTCACCAAAGCAGCAAATGTGCATCTGCTAACATACAACATTTCGTGTATCGAAACACCCTTTGGAGACTGCATATATGTCAGTGATTAAATAAGTATGTGAATAGGTATGTGAATAAGTATGTGAATAAGTATATAAATAAGTATGTGAGTAAGTATGTGAATAGGTATGTGAATAAGTATGTGAATAGGTATGTGAATAAGTATGTGAATAAGTATATAAATAAGTATATGAATAAGTATGTGAATAGGTATGTGAATAAGTATGTGAATAAGTATATGAATAAGTATGTGAGTGTGAGTAAGTATGTGAATAAGTATGCGAATAAGTATGTGAGTAAGTATGTGAATAAGTATATGAATAAGTATATGAATAAGTATGTGAATAAGTACGTGAGTAAGTATGTGAGTAAGTATATGCATAAGTATACGTACAGGGATGCACGATTAACATTATTCTTGGCCACGGTCGTATTAAAGAACACTTACTGGCTATTTTTCATAAATGGTGAGCAAGATTAACTGTGCTTCCTAATTTACAATAATAAATTGTTGCTGCCTGTTGACGAAAAGCATCATTAACCATGATATAAAGTCTAGGCATCGTCCAACTGTTGCATGTGTTGCTGCACACTAACATATAGTCTTTAAAATAGTTTATAGTACAATACGCTTCTTTCTTCTTAATGTGTGTCTTATATAAAAGGTAGATATATTTACTTCTTGTTTAGTAAACTACATATATTTCATAGCAATGATGTAGGACGTGTGTTTCGGAACAAAGTTTCAGGTTTCAAATCTGAAGTAAACATGCTCTGCTTTAAACTAATAATTTTATACGTGACGACTTTCAAGCACCTTCGACTTCAGGAGATCCGTAAATATTTACCTCCAGAACGTTATTCCACAAGGTGATATGACTTCTCGAACCGTCGCATGAACATAATTACTGTTTTTAAACACAAAACACATTCCAGAAAAACACGCACCATATTATTTTGTATGTAGCATGTCGAAAGGACAATAGCTTTCTGCTTTTATCTGTACCAAACCTGATTACTTCAAATTTACTCTCGACGATTTAATGTACACGACGCAATTTCCAACAAAATATTTTCACTAATTATATTGTCTAATTTCATTAACATCAATCACCTCTAATAGGCACTCGGCTAACTGTGGTGTTTATTTCAGTCCGCGTGGTACGGATTTCAAAACAATTCACAACAATCGACATGTCAATCACAGCATTATGTCCTTTGGAAAACAATCTAGAACCATCCGCTATGTGAGTTTTAATCGCTCACAATCCGCGCTATACCCTCAAATTTCCCATCCCGTCCCTCCGGGGCAAAGATGAAGGGGCGTGGTGGCTCAGAAATTTGTCAAATTCTTCAGTCGCTGTGAATTTTTTTTTGGCTCGGACACGCACCTGCATCTCAAGAGCTGGAGGGGGGAACTGTAAGATTGTAAATCTGATTACAGGGGCTTGGGGTCATTGCTTATTAATTTTGAACTTTGGTTCATTATTTCAATTAATGTTTTTTTTCGTGTGTTTTTTTAATTTGGTTTTCGGGCAAAGCAAAAATGACTTAAACCTATCACAAGTCGATTTCACTAGGTTGCCACGTCAATTTTTATACCTTTACATATTTCAACCGCCTTTTGAGAGAGAATAAATTACGTATATATTTTTATCTTTTGACACAAATTGTTACTATACGACATTTCTTTTTTGAAACATGAATAACGTATTTGTTGTTATAGTTCATACTCGGGATTCATATCATAACCCAAATCTATTAAAAATAATGCATTTCAACCATTACAATGTTTATACATTCTATAAAAATCTTACACATAACCGGCATTTTAAATGTCGGATTTTAGATTCTTTCAATTTCTGAACCGTCACGTTTTCAAACAAAACACAAAGACATAAATTCGACACACAAAAGAAAGCGTATGGTTGACGTCAATCTGTAAATGCAATGATATATTCTCACATGATTGTCACATAAAATAGAGAAGACCAATTTAGGTGATATTTTCTCCATATTTTTCCACCGTTACTTCATTGTGCTCGAGCCTTTCAATAGCTCCCCTGATCTCGAAACAGTAATAAAGCTCCACCATACCTTCCATGCTGTAAGCTAAAGCGTTCACTCTCCTGGTGAGTTTATGCGGCTAAACGAGCTGTTCGGTTCGGACTGTGGGGTTTTATTACCCATATTTGGGCCCCAAATTCTGCCAGTATGCAAAATTTTGACGTCGCAGGCTTTGATTTTATAGGCAGATAGTGGTCCTGCACTTTGAAACGACAGGGTGCAACAATCAAAGTTGGCATCGGGTATTTGAAAACGCTACTCTGGGATATAAAATGTCGGAGTTCATGATGGGAAAATGTTGGAAAAGTATGGAGATAAATAGGACTGAAAGTCAAAACGACCATTATCGACAGATGGCTAGTTCATAGTTAATCTTCATCTCTGAATTGGAAACAATTATGTCAGCTATTGTATAGTTCCATTGTGGCGTTGATATGTGATGTGCTAATAACGTAATATTATCATCATTTATAAAAATGATGAACTTCCTAAGTCATGGACATTTGATTTTTACGTGTCTATTCAAAGTCAATTGATCTCATTATTATGTCATTTATTGTTTATTTTATTATCTGATGTGCTTCATCTTTTGGTTCTTCCACCACAGAGTTTTATATTGAATAAATGAATTTAATTAACTTATTTAACTATTGTTTTCCAGTCCGTTTTTTCGAATTCAGAACGTGATAGTTTTCGTCAATGGCACTAAGCTTAAATGAAAAGTCGTAATATGTAGAAATGTGGCATTTGTCGATTTCCAAACATGCGTCACTCCATACGAAGTGGACATCACCTTATGGAAATGTCATTGATGAAAATATAAATGAATCAGATTGAAATTAGAGAAATAAACTTCAAAGCCTAACACATATATCCTTCCACTCATTTTTGGAATGTGTTTAAATATCTGTGTCAATTCTGAACTCGTTGGCAAGGTTAAATCTTTTTCATTATCAACCGAAGATCTCAGCAACATATGTACTGAGAAATGGGGAGGCACGGTAAAGATATCCTGCAAATTTATGTACATCCACTCCAGGGGTCTTCTCATAAGGCAGGAACTATTAGAGTTATCTGCCCATATCAATATGGCCAGGAATGGTGTATAGACTCGACGAATATCTACGACGTCTTTCCTGATTATTTTCTTCTTTTAGATGAAATAAGCTTGCCGTGCGACAGGTCTTCATTCACACGGCCCTATATTAAAATTATCCTATCTTGCGATGACTTTCATGATATTTCCACTATGATGGAACTGAGGATACAAAAGGTCAAGGTCAAGGTCAGTTTGCTTTCAGTGCTTCTACCCAAACAAATTTTACCAAACTATTTTCTTGCTTACATGTGCATGCAGTCTTTGATTTTAAATATGAAGTAGCTATTTGGCAGTTTCTTGTTGAGATATATGCGTACATTGTTCTATCGCAAGACATGGACAGACTGGCCATTATGTGTGTATGAAAAGGATGCAATGTGATAACGGTTAACCGTTGGTGTTAACTCTCTTCCTATTCTGTATCCAGGATACGTCTAAAGAACCGGCCTTCATCTTGTCACAGTCTGCTCCCCATCTTACGCAAATTACATAAAAATGTCTTTCTGCTGCTACATTGATCTGATTACTAATTGAGGTCTTCAAGGTAGTAGTTATTTCCAACATAAACAAGTTTGTCAATCTTTACACATTCTTAAATTCGAGACGACGCATGCGCAGTGTGAACGACGCGAGACCCGCCACGAGTCGAACATGTCGAGTGATATTTGAGGAATACAAACGATGCTACCCATTCATTATTCAAGATTCGTTACGCTGAAGATAATTGTTTCGTGTTGGTTTCGAGTCATGTTACAAATATCCGCCTTCGGGATGTTTGTTCAAAGTAGGACGTCTGAACTTTAATCTGGGGAAGTCATTAGTACACGTGACTAGTCGCGCGACGCTCGATTTAAAATGCGAAGTTTAAAAACTTCGAACTCAGTTTAATTGTTTATAATTGATGAATGAATGGTCAGGTTTAGGAAGTCATATATCACATGCTTTAAGGGGGTGTTATTGTTGTTTTGGATAAAATGAGAAGATTGGGTGACGCAGTTCGGTACTTGGTGATTTATTGTATTTGCACCCACACATCATCATCATCATCATCAATTATTACCAGCCCGCCATCATGATTATCATTTGTATCATCACCGTGTCGTCTTCCGCGATGGTCGTCATCGCTATGTTCATAGACTCCATCTTGTCCTCTTCATCATTATCATTCCCATTGTGTTTAATGTGCACACGTCTTTAACATCACTATCACCATCACCACCATCACCACCACCACATCATCATCACCATCCCCATTGTGTGTTTAATGTGCAAATTTCATTGACATCTTCACCACCATCACCACCAACATCATCATCATCACCACCACCATCATCATCACCATCACCATCATCATCACCATCACCATCACCACCATCATCATCATCTTTCGAGTCGCCATGAACAGCAACAGCAGCGGAGTCATTATCGTTATCACCCTTGTTTTTGTCCTGAATGCTCACACATCACAATCACTGTCTTTTATCATCATATGCCTTGTCATCACCACCTTCACCTCACAATTATCATCATTATCATCATCACGTTGCCTTTAAATTCCGATCTAGTTCTGGTTGGTTGACAAATCTCGGATATGACAAACGTGTTAAAAAAAATTGCAGTTATACTAGACACAAATTTATTCTTGCCCCCCATATCATAAATAAAAATATTCTTAGCAGGTGATCATAAGGGGTTTAAGGGGATCATAAAGATCTTTTTGCTTCGCCTGCAGCAGAAAACATATCAAAAATATTTTCGCAGACAATTCATGAAAATATTTTCCCCAGTTCCCTGACGTTCCCAAAGTCAACCTGACCTGTCCTTAACCTGGATGAAAAGCATTCATTACCAAAAAAAATTTCATCAGAAAAGGAAACAAACAATTCAAGATTGTACCCTCTTCCTATATTTCTACGAATAGATACAGTTCAGTCAAATGACACGCACAAACGCTCAGTCTCAATGCATCAAAGTAAAAGGCATATTTATTTTTCAGAAGATTAAAATAGGAATAAACTGTCCCTGTTGTGGTGTTGTTTATCTTAACACATGATACCCAAAACTAAATTTAGTTTCAGTTTTGTGATACCTTTCATTATCTCTGCTTTGTTTACCTAGCAGACTTCTCGTCGCGCGTGTGGAGCTATCATGTGACAACCCCGCAGCAAATGGCCACGTGACCTGGCGCTAATTCTTGCTGTGAAAGACGATCGAGTGAGCATGATCTTCTAACAAAAGGATGAACAACAATAGAGCAATTTGGTTTCATTTGATTGAAGAATAGGTGAGTTGGGAGAAGCAGGCTTTATATTAGGTTTTCCATCACACTTTTCAACAGTTTAAATACAAAACCGATTAGTCAAATCTGACATTGCCCTTTCTCACTTTGTAGCAAATGCTTTCCAGGGATTTAGTAATGTGAGAAGTCGTGCATACTGCGTCAATACTCTTTTCGTCAATGAAAATTATTTTTCTTCCTGTCCCATCTGCCATATTTTACAATTGTAATCAAAATTTCCAAACAGGATTAAAACCGTCAAATTCAATTTGGTGTTAAAAGTGACAGCGGAATTTACAAATTGAAATGGATCCGTAATTGTTTTGCATTGCAGGAATTCTTCTTTTAGTGAACTCATATACCCATGTGCCAATGAACAACTCACCCGCTGACGATAATCGGGGTTGTATAAGGATATGGCGAATGTGATTAATACCACAGTGAGCCTTTGTAGGGTTGGCAATTGCTCTGTGGTGTCAGGAACTGATATTTTTAAGGTTTCTCTTCTAAAGGGAACTTGGCTCGGCCAGATTGGCAGTGCTAGCAAATGTGATTCAAGACTGTCAACCACCACTTAACCACTAAGTCACAGATTATAATACAGTAAACTACGGTTATAACGAACTCAAAGGGACCACTAATTTTAGTTCGTTATAACCGTAGTTCGTTATAAGCATATATATACAGCATATATACATCAAATGGCCGGGACTAAAAATAAGTTCGTTATATCGGTCAGTTCGTTATAAGCGTGTTCGTTATAACCGTAGTTTACTGTACGTATCAATCTAATTGTGAATAATGTACCAACCTATTACAAGGAGCAAATGTCTTAATTTGAACATACCTTGACTGATAATGGGCACTCTATTATGTTATAGGGGCGGTCGGGTAGCCTAGTGGTTAAAGCGTTCGCTCGTCACGCCGAAGACCTGGGTTCGATTCCCGACATGGGTACAATGTGTGAAGCCCATTTCTGGTGTCCCCCGCCGTGATATTGCTGGAATATTGCTAAAAGCGGCGTAAAACCATACTCACTCACTCACTACAATGTTATACATGGCGGTGAGAAATGGTTCGCAGATCTACGAGTGAATGTTTAATTGCAATGTTTCTAATTGAAAATAAGTATTATTGATTAATTGAAGTTTTGAAACTTATTTCAAGATATATTAAGAAATAACGCAATGGAGAAATATATATATTGAGAAAATGCATTGGGAAATACAGTAAGTGTATATAAATATGCAGTGAGTGTGCAGTACTAGGTACAGGTGTTTCTATACCTACACCTAAGCGGGAATCAGCTTTAAGTAGCAATCTATCGAACGCTAAACGGTGCATTTCGTAGCATCATCACTATTACATAGTGATTCACTAACATATACTCATGCATGATAAAATTGGAACCATACAATCGACTCTGGATGTCAATCATTCGATTGTCTGGTCCAGACTATTATTTACAGACCGCCGTCATATAGCTGGAATATTGCTGAGTGCGGCGCTAAAGCAACAAACAAACAAACAAACAGCAGTGATTTCTTATGAACATGGTAAGGGTTTTGACGGTTTTCTTTAGCAACGATTGAGCTCTGTTTGCAAATGGTCTGAACGTGTTGGTCTTTGGTACATTTAGTTTGAAAGACACATTTAAAATTAAAACATGTTTAACTTATTGGCGTCGTTTTATTTATTAACATAATCAACATTTCAAAACACTGTTCTAAAGATCAAACGGATTATTATTAAACTATGTGTTAGAAGCAATATCTATGTCTGTAGTCGGGTGGTTGTTGAGGTTACAAGCATAGTTTAACAATAGCATAACAAATATAATTAGTATGTACTCCTTTGACCATCCCTTGATTCGCGAAGATGTATCATCCCCAGGCTTGTCTTCCCACACATCGAGTTGGTGGGTAATTTGCTGCCCCTCGTAAACTAAACTAGCAAACATAAGTTTTCGGTGCACTCAACGAAATCCACGAATGTTCAGAACGAGAGTGATGAAAGTGTCAGCACGTATTACCACCGCCATATCTCACGAGATTTCAGCTCATTCCACGAGAGTATGACGAAATATGAAATGCCTACTTAAATACTCCATGACAGTAAAAAGGGCTCCCTAAGTAGTTAAAGTTTGTATCATGTTTCTGCATCACCCCTATATAACTCATAGATTAATAGACCTAGGAGACCTAGCTTCGAGGGGGGTACCTTCACATCTCGGCGGGGCGAGAGTTGGTTCCGCGAGACTTTATCTGGCCGGCGCCGAGATTTCGAAGTGGCTTCGCATTGCCCCCGCATGGAAGGAGCTTGAAGGGGAGGGGAAGGCGGGGATGGATCGTAAAACATGGAGACTTTCTCAGAATTATTGTCAACGAGTTTAATTTTCTGATCGTGTTCCTGGCTAGTTCCCACAGCGTAGCGTTCGCTGGAAGCACTTGAGATGTACCTCGGTTCAAGGGGAATGCCTGTTAACACCGTGTGAACGAATTCCTCAAACAGCGCTCAGGTGTTTGGGTTTTAAGCACTGAAGCCATAGTATCCTTATTGATGTGATTCGTAAACCCATGTTCATGACATAGTTGGAATCGTACAATCAACTCTTCTTTTAGCAGAGCTTTCTTACAAATATGGAAATAGTTATGTAGCTATTATTTATATGAATACACACACAACAATACTAACAACAATACAAAACGTACTGAATAATGAAGAATGTATAACAGGAACGTATCTGTTCTTGTACAAATTCAAAGTTATGAGTTTAATTATATGATCTGAAAAATATGTCTCCTTACGAAAGGAAAATGGTCAGTTATATCACTGGCTACTGTCAGCGTTGTATGCCTGTTGTTTGCATATACTGATACCCCGCATACACTGGGAGTTCATAGGCGTACTGACGGAACAATGTATACCTCTGTGTTTTGCTAAAATGCTTTAACATGGTCAACACAAAAAGTCACTGTAAATAAATGCGCCAAAACCCTTTGCATAATCATAAAAAAAACTCCGCTCAAAGCGTTTTACGATGTGTAACTGATAAGTGCACTATATCACTTCATTGTCGAGTATTCTCTGGGTTTGTTTCGGGGTTTTTTATTGTTTGTTTTTGTTTTGGGTATACACAATTTAATTGCAAATATGAGTAAAACGTCAACCAGTCTCGCTTATCCGCCGAAACAGATTCTATTGGGCGTAAAAAGCAATCTAGAAGTGAAAATTGTATGAATGGATCACTGAAAATCAGCGATGACACACGCTTACCAATACCGTAGTTCCGTTAATTTTTTAGATAAGTATATTCACGGATTATCAAGACATTTCTATCAAATTGAACTTCACATTTTTCATCAATCAATCCATATATGTCAAGTTCGCCCTTCTGTGGAAAAGTACATGTTGAATGTCGTTTAAAGAGAATATTAAATAAATAAATTTTGGGATGAAATCCTTTCACGTCTGATTTCACAAAATTGACCTTAAAGTGCAATTTGTATAGTCTACTCCGTGAGACATTCGTGATGTCATCATATGTCGCTTGTTCCCCAGGTTCCGGTGCCATTTAAATGTGACATGAAATGTTAAATTGAATTCTCATTTTACATCGGCCTTTCGAAAAGACGAACTCCTCAATGACAGACTAACTGGAATTCCACTTTAATACGGACTTATACACCGGCTGTATACCAATCCATGGATGAAGAAATCGGTGCCAACATCTTATGTTGTTCCGTCTGAACGGGTGTCTGTAGGCGTATCAAGTACGGCTCTGCAATACCGTTTCATCAGATAGATTTGATTATACTTCTCTTGTTTGATACAAAGAACAAAATATAAAACATCAACGCCAGAGAATAACCAGTCTCGGTTATCCACCGAAACAGGTTCCATTGGGTAAAATAGCGATGACAATTATATGAATGGATCACTGATAATCAGTGATGACACCAGGTGTTCGCGAAAGAATTTGCATAAAAAAGTGTTTGTTGTCTGAACATTTATGTTGCAATGATAAAGCTATCAACAACACTGGCAGTAGTAAAAGTTATATCTTGATATCCAACATCTTAGAAAAGAAGCATCTTTGGTTAAACGTCAACTGACAAAAATGTTAATGAAGTTTTTGTATTTCATGTATACTATTGCAATGCTGAAATAGGATAGAAAAAGAACACAGGTTACTACTTCAGTGTAGTGTTCATCTATAGTATCTGTTTCTTTGTTCACTGTTTTTTGGATTTGACTTTTTAAACACAGCACTTTCAAATCAGAAACTGTTGCTTGTGTTAAGTTTGTAACATTTGAATTTTAAAGTTGATTAACACAATATCTAGTAACAATGTTTTGGACAATAAAAAACATCTAGTTGAATAAAACAATATATAGTAAGAATGTTGTGGACAATAAAAGAACATCTAGTTGAATAACACAATATATAGTAAGAATGTTTTGGACAATAAAAAACATCTAGTTGACTAACACAATATCTAGTAACAATGTTTTGGACAATAAAAGAACATCTAGTTGAATAACACAATATATAGTAACAATGTTTTGGACAATAAAAGAACATCTTGTTGAATAACACAATATCTAGGAACAATATTTAGTGCATCTAGTTGAAGAACGCAATGTATAGTTGAATAACACAATATCTAGTTGAGTAACACAATACATGTGTATATAGTTCAGTAGCACAGTGTCTGGCAACAATATTTAGTGCAATAACATAATGTCAAGTTTAATAACACAATGTCTAGTAACACTATTGCAAAAACTCATTTAGTTGAATAACATAATATATAGTTCAATTATTAAATATCTATTCTTAATAGCGCGAAGTGAAGTTGAACAACACTATATTGAGATGAATAACACTATTATTAGTAAATAATAAGACAAAGGATATTTGAATTACACAACATTATGATTGTTTGAAAAATTTAGTGGAAAAACACAACACACGTATATAGTTGACTGACCAACATCTATCT